GAGACCTTCAGTAGAAAGCTGTGGTCCTCGGACTCTCGAGCATGTAGCCCGCGATGCGCGAGGAGGCAGGTGGCAGGGTAGAACTGCCTCTTTGGCCATACGTGACGGGGTACGGCATCTCACTGAAACGCTACTCTACTCGTTCCAAAGCCGAAGCTGCCTTTCAGCTACAATGAATCGGAGTTGCCTGCGTCGCGCAACTGAGCCAGCGTGTCTGTGGTGCATCACGAGCGCATCCGCATGCTGCCGCCAGCGTGTTCTGTGCCCTCCCCAGGGCGGGTCGCTAGCAGCAAGCGCCAGGGTGCAGCTCGCGATGACTGGCCAGCATCGCAGCAGCCCCACGAGAAGCGCCGTGCGGAAGGAAGGATGAGGGAGATTGTAGACGGGAGACATTGGGAGACAGTGGGCGACAACGGGAGGCAACAGAGGACAACGTGCGACAACGGGAGACAGCGTGCGACAACGGGCGATAACGGGATGCAACAGAGGACAACGTGCGACAACGGGAGACAGCGTGCGACAATTGGCGACAACGGGAGACAACGGGAGAGAATGGGGACAATTGGCGACAACGGGAGACAACGGGATATATTCGGCGCCCGACTGATGCCAGGTCCCATAGGAAAGAACGGGAGACAAGATATGATGATCATTCTCGTTTGGGCCCTGGCTCAAAGGAAGAGTTCCCCTCGCGGCGGTCAGGGACGGGGGATGTGGATGTTCTCCTGCGTGTTTCGCCCTTGGGGCGTCCCCTGCCTCTAGCCCAACGTCTCCACCGCAGAGTAATGAAATTGCTTATGTTTTCGCTGCGTGCTTGCACCATCTGGCGACCGCGGACTTACCACAGTGATTGCTACATGCTTCTGCGGGCCGCTGGGGGCCGTTTCGGGGCTTGCGACCTTCAGAAACTGACTTCTTGCGAAAACGTGATTCAGGAGATGCGAGCCAGGGGTCAGGACTCCTTGCGCAACTCAGCGCGAGTTTCCTACGATGACGGTTTTGAATTACCACGCCATCGTTGACGAGGGAGCCTTCCGCGTGGAAAGTCGGTCAACCTCACAGGCACCAGTGCCTTCTTTCAGAGGAATGTACATTGACACCTACGCGTGCACCTACAGTTACACTGGCACCTACTTCACCACCCACCAAACCACCCCAACCCAACCCGAAGGGTCACATTTACCCTCGATTTCTAGTGGGGGGGGGGTCCGGGAACATCGAAAAAACACATATGGAGCCCGTACCCCCCCCCAACCCGAAATTCGGGTCTTCGGGTTGGGTTGGGGTGGTCTGGTAGGTAGTCACTACTTGCCACTATGAGCCAGGCGTTCACGTGCACAAGACAGCCACTAAAGGACTTCGGAGGTGCACACACTGGCTTGAGGGTGCGACGCTCGCGCACACCAGCGGGGGAGGGGCCGCACAGGAGTTCGAGCGGCGCCTTGGGCAGGGTCACGTGGGAATTTGCATTTCACAACGCATGCACCTAAGGGCGGGTTCGATCTCAGGGAAACGGTATACGAGGTTGGATCAACATGATTCGTCGGCCTTTCACTGCTCAGCACAGGAGGACGTTTCTTGCCCAGGCGGTGGCCGAGAATAATCTGTTTGTCGTAGCTTTAAGCCAGGCCCACATGTACACACATCCTCTCGTTATCACTTTAGCAGGATCCAGGCGATCACAGGGCATGGCTGTCGCTTTCGGGAGGCACCAACGTAACCCAGCACCCAAGATGACAAAGCGTCCCCCCTTGAATCCCTGATAGTTGATTGTCCAGGGCCAAGACAGAGTTGGTCGGGGGAAAGTGGCGGGGAGGCCGACCTTACTTATCGCCGGAGAAATTCCGAATCGAAGTTACTACCCCTTTATGTCGAATGTCAACACTATCGCGAACGTGTGGCAGTTGCGAGCATGGTATCGCTGTACGATGCTATTTTTGTCAGGTGTCGTGCTCCCCCGCTTCCTCCACGGAGGCCCCGCATGAGCGAGCAGGGCATGGCTATAGAATACAATTTCTCAGATTTCGTGCTCCCCCGACCCCTCCAAGGAGGCCCCATCAGAGCGAGCATAATATCGGTATCCCATACTATCCAGTCATATCATCGAGCATACGAGTTAGCGGGAAACAGCAGTAGTATTCCCTCCCAGCCCCGGGATTTATTCTCCCCACCCTGTGATAATCAGGGGCATGGGGTTACAGCCTTGTCTTCGTGCCACAGCCTGGGAAAGCGGCAGCGCCGCGGTCTTGCTGGTTGCCCGGTCAAGCGAGTAGCTCAGGCTGCTCGATCACGCCCGCCACACCCTGCCAGATGCTGCAGGCACGCAGTACACCTTAGGCGATGCTTAAGAAAACCTAAGTTTTCGTCCAGAGTCTCGATTATTCTTAATGTTTCAATGTAAATCCCAAAATTTTGATAGAAATTTTGGGTTTTTATTCCATTTCTGAGACTCTGAGTTTCTTAACCCATGATTTCTTAAGCATTTCGCAAGGTGTAGGCCCCGGGCGGAGGGCCACGCGATGCTGGCCAGCACCTCTGCGCTTCAAGCAGTCTTGCCCGCGGATCTCTCGGCGGCCGACCCAGTCCTGATCCTGTCGAGTACGCCAGATTTCGTAAAAGAAAGGGAGGGGGCGGTCTCATTTCGGGGGGGGGGTCTCTTCCAGGCTATCTTGGAGGGCCTGGGGGGGGGGGTCTGGGGACGATGTTTTGGAGGGTTCTCCCACGGGGGATGTCTGAAATGGCTTGTCTTGGAGGGTCCAGGCCCCCTCCCTTTTATTACGGAATCTGGAGTAACAGTGGCCCCAGTCTGTTGCACCCCCCGTCTTTCAATCGGCCAGCTCGTGCTCAGAGTTCCAGGGGGGTCTCGAGCTTGTCTCTTTGGCCAGCCTCGCATTGATCAAACTGTTCTTCTGCGGGCACCTGGCTTTGGACCCCCTTGCGCACCGCAGTCATTACGGTCAGTGCACGGTCGGGTTTCCCCGTTGTTCTGCTCTAGATGGTTCCGAGAGGGTCTGGGAGTCAGGCTGGCCGAGTCCTTGGATGAACATGTTCTTTTTGTTGAGAGTTGTTCATTTGCGTGCTGTTTCGGATCATGTGTCATGCGCTTCCCGCGTGCGTGTCGTCGTCCCCCCCCCACCAGTGCCATGTTTTTGTCGTTCTCTTCTTTTCTAGCGTAAGGCAGCTATGCGCGCTTGGGGACAGTACTCACGTGCGCAATGTGCGGCTCCCTTAGCGATTTCTCAACAATTACCGTCTCGTGCCCAAGTTTGCGATCGATGATGTCTTTTGACGTCCTGTTTTTTTCGCTTCGCGAGATTGGTGGGGTTGACTTCGTCAATTTGATAGCAACATTCGTTCTTTCGCGCTTATTCGGGATCGAGGCGAGAACCCCAAAATCTTACAATCCGAGGCAGCAGCGTGGAATGGTGATTCCGCGCTGCAATGTCCCTGCGGACAACCGCGGGAAAATCCTTCTCCTCTTCCTCCTCGTCCTTATCGGCTTCATTCTCCTGCTCATCTCTCGAGCCTTCCATCTTCCTATCGTGCCATTGGGTTTCCTCCTCCACCGGCACCTGCCCCTGCAACCCCCTTGAAACACGTCCACACGTGTATCCCCCTCCCCATCGTCGTCCTCTTCCTCCTCCTGGCCGTCCTGCCCATCCTCCTCTTCCCGCTCCCTCTTTTCCGCCTCTGCCTCTCACTTCAAGTCCTCTTCCTCGTTCTGTTGCGCCCGCGGGCGGGTTGAAATGTGTCGCTTGGTTGTGGTTGCGGTTGCGACCGCGGGCGGGTTGAAATGTGTTGTCACAAGTGTTTTACCAGTTCTGTCAGTTCAGCGCAGTTATTTCAGTGCAGTTCAGTTAAGTAGAGTCGGTCAGTCAGCGGGGTGCACGGAGTTTCACACGGTTTTGTTGGACACAACCATTTCAAAATCAATGATTTGAGCCACTTGGGGGCCCTCTTAGTAGGCCTCTTGGAGACTTCTTGACGCGTCTTGGGGGTCATGTTGGGCCGTCTTCAGGCCATGTTGGGTGTCCTGGCGCTTTTTTGTCGGCGACTCGGGGCCCTCTTGGACCGTCTTGGGGGGCCTGTTGAGGTGCTCTTGGCCCGTCTTGGGGTCCTCTCAGGCCCGAAACAGTCACGCGATTAACAGCGGCAAGCCGCGTAAGATTTGTGAATTTGGGGTCCGGCCTCCTTGATAGAATCGTTAGGATCGGGGACTGTGGCTGAAGAGATTCGCCAAAGAGCTGAGGACACTCCAACTCGTGCCTCCGGGCACAGGGGGATAAATGAGTGCAGGAGGTCGTTCGTTCGTTCACAAGCAATGTAACACGACTCGGTTCAGCAATGGAAGCATGCCTGCTGCGCAGGAGGAGCGGCAATCAGATATTACATCGAAGCATCTATCGCGTCAATTCTAGATACTCTTGCTTGACAATCGCTCTCCAACTTGGCTGTCCATGCACTCCAAAACGAGGGCGCCTGAACACTGCACGCAACGCCTCCTGAGCTGGGAGGGAGGGAGGCGGGAGGGGAGGGGCCTGCCACAAAGGGGAGTCCCACCGGCTCCACGATGCGCCACGAGGCCGCCAAGTCAGCCGCAACATAGCCCTGCGCTTCAAAAGGGTCCAAAGGGCCACCCCCTGCCCACACTCCAAATTGCTAGCTTCCTGAAGTTCTCAGGCGAGGGGGGGGGAATGTTGCGGCTCGGGGGCAAGGTACGGAGGAAAACCCCCCCGCAGGGGGAAGATATGATTCCCCTTGCAGTCAGCGCCCTGGACCACCTGCGCCCAGAGGACTGGTGGGACCTGCCAGCCCACATGCCTCCTGGCTCCTTGCGGTTCCCGAGGTGTTCGGTGGCTTTTCGTGGTGGCGGCCGCGTACCCCCTCCTCGCGGCCCGTGCAAAGTTCAGGGGAGGCAATTGCCATCTGAGATTCGCGTCAGGAGGAGGAGGAGGAGGAGGAGGAGGAGGAGGAGGAGGAGGAGGAGGAGGACCCCCTCCCCCCCCTCGCAGCGGTCCCCTCTGGGCGAGCAGCCCTCCCGAGCCCTCCCCAGTCCGCCGCCTCTGCGCGCGCTCCTCGCGCCCCATGGCGGCGCCGGCGCCACGCCCGTCCGAGGCGCTGGTGACGCTGGACGACGGCGCCGTCGCTGCCGGCCCCGACGACGAGGCGTGCGCGGCCAGGACGATGTCCGTTATACTCGTACCGCTGCCCTTCCCTCGCTTTCGCCTCTTTGGGGCCTCCTAATCAGGGGGCCCTCGCCGTCACAGCTGGATTCGCTTCGAGATTCTGGTCAGAACGCACCCTTGGGAGAGGTCCGGGGAGTAGCGTTATCAGTATCTTTGCTTTGGTTCCCCCATGCAGTGCGTTATGTTTGACCTTTATTTAATCGCTTCGCTCATTCCGCCGGCCCATATTGTCGCACCGTTGTGGGCTAGCCGAGTTTTGGGGCCTCTTGGGGGCCGTTTTGGGGCCTCTTGGGGCCTCTTTTGGGCCTCTTGGGCGCCTCTTGGGGCGTCTTGGGGGCCTCTTGGGGGCCTCTTGGGGCCTTTTTGGGGCCTCCTGGGCGCCTTCTGGGGCGGAGGGCTCGATTTTTCAGTTCTCGGTTCCCCTCTTGAGCCCCTCTTGGGCCCGTCTTGGGGCCTCTTGGTCCGTCTTGGGCGGCACTTGGGCCGTCTTGGGGGCCCTCCTGGGCCGTTCCGGGGCCGTCTTGGGAGCCTCGTGGGCCGTCTTGGAGCGGTCTTGGGGGCCTCTTGGGCCGTCTTGGAGCGTCCGGAAGCCGAAAAAGCCAGAACGCAAAAAACATAGAAAAAAACAATGAAAATCAACGATTTTGGCCTCTTGGGGCCCTCTTCGGAGGCCTCTTGGAAGGCCCTTGGGGCGTCTTGGAGGCCTCTTGGGCTGTCTTGGGGCCCTGTTGGGCGTCTTCGGGCGATCTTTGGCCGTCTCGGGGCCCTCTTGGACCGTCTTGGAGGCTTCTTGGGGACCTCTTGGCCCGTCCTGGGGCCCTGTAACAGGGCTCCGGCATCTCTGGCCCGACCTTGCCGGGACCTTGCCGTGGACTTGCCGGGACCTTGCCGGGGTACTTTTCGTCCGGGGACCCCCAGGGGCCGCCCCGCGCGCGACCTTTATTTGCGAATGGCGGCCCAAACTGAGTGTACATCATCTGTTCCACACCTTGGCGCTCGGCGAACCGGCCAGAACTGATACACAAAGCCGTGTCTTGTGACGTTTCTTCGGAGTCCCATGGGATAGGGCCCACATACCCCAGTGTGTATACGCGCGGTTCCCAGAGGCGCGCGCGGCCGCGCTGCACACCGCGGTGTGCTATGCGGAGCCCACCCTAGCCGCTGGCGCCTCCTTCTTCGGAATCGGGCTGCTGGTGCTGCCCCTGGTGGACCAGCTGGGCGCCGCGGACCCGCGCGCGGCCGAGGCGGACGCCTTCTCGTACCGTGGGGTGGGTGCCCGGGCGCCGGGGCTCTTCAGCCCAGAGGAGCTGAAGGGGCGCCTGGGGCCGCTGGACCCGTCGCAGTTGTGCAGGGAGCTGTCCCAGAGCTCCGCCGAGGTGGCCGAGCATGCTCGGCGGCGAGGGGAGGAGGCCACCCGCCGCGAGGCCTCGGGGGCGTGTCAAGAGAGGGGAACAGAGGACCATGTGTGTATATGTGCGTGTGTGTGTCGTGTGTGAGAGAGAGAGAGAGAGAGAGAGAGAGAGAGCATCATGGCTGGTGCCACGAGATCGTCTCTACATCTCATGACCTCCTCCTCTTTCAGGTGCCCACCCTGGGGCCGCGCTCGTTTTCACACGCGTCGGGCCTTCGGCGCATCCCGAAGGTCGCCAGGCTGAGGCGATGGCGGGCGCGAGCGAACCAGCGGCTGGCCCTGCTGCAGAGGCGCTGCGCGCTGACGTTCCTGGGGCTGCCGCTGGAGGCCCGCGAGAGCGACATCAGCGGCGCCTACAAGCGGAAGGCGTTGGAGTTGCACCCAGACAAGGGTGGCGACCCCCAGGAGTTCCAGCAGCTGCAGCAGGCGCGCGACTGGCTCGAGGAGCCCAGGGTAGCCCAGCGGGGCCCAGAGGAGGACGACGAGGCCGAGGAGCCGCCAGAGCGCCCGCCAGACGGCGCCGGGAAGCTGCGCGCCGACCTGCACGACAGCGCGCTGCGGCTGTGGGAGCGGCACAGCGCCGCGGCTGGCGAGATCGAGTCGCGGGGGGGCGGCGCGGCGCCGCCCAGCGGGCAGGCGCTCGACGCGCTGCACGCCTTCCTGGGCGCCTTCACCGCGAGGGAGGTGCACGCGCTGCGCAGGTGCGATGCGCGGAGCCTGGACACCGTCGTCCGCAAGCTCGTGCGCAGAGGCGCCGAGGTCCTCGCGGCCTCCGCCGCGGCGGACGCGCCGGCCGCGGTGGCCGCCGTGCGGGCCGGCTTCGTGCAGCCGCTGGCCGCTAGGTGCGCAGTGCCCGAGGCCGCGGGGAGGTGCGGCGACCTGCTGGCGGCCCTCCTCGCGGTGCCCGCCGGGGCGCGGCGCCTGCTCCGCAGCCTTGACGCTGGCGCCGCGCAGGGCAGCAGTGCCACGGCAAAGCAAAAGGCACACGAGCCAGGCAGCCGACGGCGACGGCCAGCTCCAGAGGTCGAGCCGCCGCCGGACCAGCCGCCGGCTGAGCCGCCGCCAGCGGCCGAGCAGCCACCCGCAGAGGCAGCGGAGCCTCCGCCGAGGAAGAGTCTCCAGCGGCTGCCCCCCGCTGACGAGGTCGTCGGCTGTGACTCGGACGATGAGCCCGGGCCGCCGCTGTCGCAGCCAGCGCCGTTCAAGTGCGGCGGGTACCGTTTGCATGTGCGGGCCGACGGCTTGAGGGGCTCCCTTGAGGAGGTGAGGGCTGAGCTGTGGGATGCGGACATGCAGGTCGCGTGGTTGCGAGGCTTGTACATATTCCGGTACGCTGGCTTCAAAATCGGCGACGCCTGCCGGATTGCCGCGGCGCGCATCGATCCGCGGGCCGCCACTCTCTTGGACGCAGAGGGGCGCCCGAAACCGCCTCTAGCAGGCCTTTTGAGCCCCCAGGCTCACGACGGCGGCTTCTTTTACTTGGAGGATGTCTACCTGGCCCGCCATCTGCGTGGCAGGGGCCTGGGCTTGGAGCTCGTGGCGGCAGCCTTGCGGAGCCTCACCGGCCCGCTGAAGCGGGTCACGCTGGTGCTGTGCAAGCTTGCCGCGAGGCCAGGCGAGGCGCCTGGGCGCGGCGGGGGCGGCCTGGGGGCCCTCGAGCGACATTGGGCGCGACTGGGCTTCCGCAGGGCCCTGGAGGGGCAGGACTTTGCAGCCCGAAGCACATCCCCGTCCCTTGGATTGGCGTCGCTTTCTCTCGGTGTCGATCGTTGGGATCCCCTCACTTCCCGAGATCGCGACCTGAAGATGCTCATCGCCTCTGGGCTTGTCGATCTTAGGGATAGGGATAGGCTCGAGGCCGGTCAAGGACTTGTGGTTCGTGGAGCCGGCCGCCCTCCGGCCGCCGGCGGCGGTCGCGCGTGCTCCGCCGGGGGGCCGTGCGGCGGCCGCGCCGCCGGCGAAGCGCCCCAGGGCCGCGCCCGTGGCGGCAGCGGCGGGCGCTCGGCCCGTCGGCGCCGCCTGCGCAGGCCCAGACATCCCCACGATCTGATTTTTGTCAGCGTGCGGCCCCCAGTGGTCCTCAGTGAGTCCCCAGTGCCGTTCAACCGATCCCCATCCCGAGCCCAATCGTCCTACAGTGGAGGCCCATGCCAAGAGACACCCTGCTTGCCTTCGGGGTGCCCTGGGTTTCTTGGGTTTCGGTGGTTTTACTGTGGAAGGCGTGGCGCTTCCACGCCAAAAAGCCATGGACAACCTGGGGTTTCAGGATTGCGTTTCCTGTGGAAGGTCTCTTGTGGACTGGCCTCCACTGTAATTACCACCCCAGTTGGGGATCTGCCCCTCCAGACTCGAAGGGAGCGGCATGGAACCATCTATATCACCATCAAAGGAGGCAAATCGGCCAGTGCACGGGCACAGGCCGCACCGGTGGGGGTAGGCATCGGTGAACCGAAACTGACAGTGGTCCCGACACTTTCCCAAGGGCACGCTCGGTGGCCCCGTGGGGCCCGCAGACGGACCCCACAGGCCGAGGCGCCAGGGGTTCAAGACCGCGGGGGGCCGAGAACACGATCACATCGTCGGAGCATCTGGGAAGGCACCCCGGCGCCGCCGTCGGAGCCTGCACGGGGAGCCCCGCGGCCACTGGCGCGGCCGGCGGCCGCGCGGGCGGGCGAGCTGTGCGGGGGCCTGCTCACGCCGCGCATGCTGCACGCGATGAGATTTGCGGCGGACATCGGCCTCGAGGCGCTGCGCTCGGACGCAGGCCGCTTCCTTCCGGGGCAGCCGGGCGGCGTGCACTGGGGCGCGGCGCGGCTGCCAGCGTCCCTGCGGGGCTCCGTCTTCAAGGCCTTCCGCGGCGGGCCGTCGTCAGTGTCTCGGGGCCTGCAGGTCGAATGCAGGGCAGTGCAGGGGCGCGAAGGTGCTCTCGCGTCGCTCAGAGGAGGAAGAGGCACCGACACCGCTGCTCCTCTCCCTTTTTTCCCGCTGTTTGGGGCTCCTGGGAGGCCCTCGTCGCCACGGCTTGACTCGCCTCGAATTTCGGGTCAGAGCGCACCCCAGGAGGGTCGGGGGAGTAGCGGTGTCGGTGTTGTTTGGTTTCCCCAGAGCGGTCGCCCTTCTC